GTAAGACACTATGACCTCAGTAAAGGAGAAGCTTGTGGGTCTCACCAACAGGAGATTCCTCTCACCATTTCAGTGTGACAGAACACTAGGAAAATAATAAAACTTTTTTAATAGGAATACTTTCCAGCACTGTATCAACCTTGCTCAGATTACACCAGTGGCATGACCCTGCACACAGCAAAGCTAACACAGTGCTTCCCTTGACGTGTGTTTCTTCTGTCCTCACAGACTTTGCTGAACACTTCCAGAAGGCCAAGGCATAAGGTCTCACATGTATAGTGATTCTGATTTGCCACAACATTCCAGTTCTTCTTGTATCATGATTCGACAGATACCTTGAAGAAGTGTCCCCAGAAGGTTGAGCTACAAATCAGTCCTGATTGCAGGACGGGGATCATGGCAATGTATTCCATATCTTCTGGTAGTCTACAAATGAAGCGAGTTTCCTTCCAAGGGAGGACTACTGCCCTCTTATTTTTTAGAACTATAAACTAACACCACAGAATTATCTCCTCTGATACTCTCAAGAATTTCTTCTGTTGCCCTGTGTAGGATCTATTTAAAAAATATCTCTTAAGATGGCTCCCTGAAAAAGGACAGGGATGAAGGAACTAGGTAGTTAGACATCAAATAGAGAGTCATATATGTGATGGTGTCCACCATCTACTGTGTTGTGACTTTGGGGGCCTGAGGTAGGGCTCCACAGGGACTGCATTTGATTCTTGAATCTCTAGATTGGTCATCAGCACTGTCACACTGACTGCTTTTGCCCTGAAGGCCGATGAGACGACAGACACGTTGTGGTGTGTTGCCAGTCAGTGGAAACATCATTTTTTACTTTGGCAGCTTACAAGAACTGCAGTAGAAAAATCAGCAAAACTGCAGAACCATGGCCTGAACACTGATCTGTTTTCTTTTGGGTGTTAAGACTATTCTTATATCACCCTAGAGTCATCAAGACTTAAACTTTGTTCTTCATGTTAGCCCACAGCAGGTCCAACCTCTCAAACGGCAAGAACCTCCTAGAAGCCTACACCACTTAGATCTGCGCCTATTAGCCAGTACAACTGTTGCAAAACCATTGCAGCATTTAGTGAATGGGAAATGATGTTGTCAGCGATAATATGTCTCACAAGTGACAGAAGGCCAAGTGTCACATCTGAAGACAGACTGAAGATATGTGAGGTACACAATCTATTTTCACACTTTAGAACCCTGCAAGTCAAGGCCATATATGAAGCCTTACAGACTTCTCACCATTTACACAGATCTTGAAAATTAAGTATACGACCATGGAGCATTTTCCGGGGAGATTTCTCCTGTCCAGTAATAAAGTATATTGGATAGGATTACTCTAACTTTATTTTTTCACTACAATGTCAGGTATGTTTGAGCTAATCAATTCTACAGAAACAGGCCTTCTAATAGCCAAGTTTATCTCATTCTACGGTAAACTTCTAAAATAGGTCAAATGAATTGATACTGTTGCTTACTCACAGCAACATGAGTAAGATCTGCCACGTATGTATTCTCTGAACCTTTCCCCAGGGAAAGAAGTATGAACAATGGAGTATTGCAGTGGATAGTTTTTGGGTGTATCAGAAAGAGGCCCTCTGCGCTCTGAAGCCTCAAACTGCATTTACATAAACAATAATTTTATCTTTTCTTTTTCCTATTTCTAACTAATGACTTAGGGGGCACATCTGCACAAAGCTCAGAAAAATACAGTGCAGAAAAACATGAAAATAGCCATACTGGTCAAACAAATATAAAGAGGCCCTCTGCGCTCTGAAGCCTCAAACTGCATTTACATAAACAATAATTTTATCTTTTCTTTTTCCTATTTCTAACTAATGACTTAGGGGGCACATCTGCACAAAGCTCAGAAAAATACAGTGCAGAAAAACACATGAAAATCCATACCAGTCAAACAAATATAACATCTCCACAAAAGATATGTGTATTGAAGGGTTTAAGAGGATAAACAAACTGCAGTAGCTCCCGAGAATGCTCTCCCAGCATTGCAGAGTCTGCACCTCAACTTCCTGAAACATAGGAGATGCCTTTGTATATGACAGTGCTTCGAATATTTTTATTCCTTTACTTTGTTCAGTTGCCTTTGAATCTATGTACATTTTTAGCATCCAGAACATCCCAGAAAAAGGAGCAGAAAAATAACAGACGCACACAAATTTACATAGCTCTTGATGCATCAACTGGGAGACAGAGCATGTTAACACCATGCACAACACGAGGAAAATAAAGTGATTCTACCTCCAGAAAGGAGCTAATAATTCCACACAGCACTGTACTACTATGCATAGACATGACGACTCCAGCTAGCAGAGGCTGGGTGGCTGGATCTCAGTTTCTTCATCGAGTTATGCACATACAAAATACTTTGTTTGCCTTTCTTTTTAAACAGCTTTTGGTTTTGCCAGTTTCAGATTCCATGGTAGTTCATTTTTAATTTGCAACAACGGTATGGCTTTTATATAGTCTGAATTAAAAGAGTTATAATTTCAGGAAAAGCACACTGTCTTGATATTAAATATGATCTGACTGTTGAGCCTTACATAAACTAACAGGAGCTTTGGGATTTGGCCTGACAGTGAGTCTGCAAGGCGCTAAGCAAAAAAACCCCAAACAGTATTAACCATGGAAACTGTAATAATAACTTGTACTGGAAAAGCAATGTAGCCTGGTAATTTTAAAGAAAGATAACATCAGAGAAGGAGCTACAGAAAGAACCAAGGGAAAACACAGCTTCATTCTAGATCAATCTACAATGTTTTACAATAACTCTTTCCATTAATTCACATCTGGGAGCATAGTAAAGTAAAAACTGTCTAGCAGGATCAAATCAAAGGTTTCTCTAGTCAAGTATATGACTACAATTGTGGCAACAACAGGTGCCTACAGAAAACTATAACAACAGGGCAACCATAAAGACTTCTCCAGTGGGCTTCCCAGACTTGAGCGTCTTGGAGCTCAAGAACTTTCAGACAAGCAACAATGTCTGTCTGACACACTCCATGGGTTTTTATTCCATCAACTTTCTAATAAATTTTCAGACTGTTTAAATCCTGTGGCAGTGTTCAAACTGTAATCATGTAATAGGAAGAATAAGCCCTTTTCTATCCTTTTTGAACTTGCTATCAGATAGGTTTGATGCTCCAGTTCACACACTGAAAAGGAGAGTAAAATAAATAAATAAATCCCTATTAATCTTTTCTGTTCCATTCATGATTGTATAGAGCACAGAATAGGACACATTTCATCTCAGTTGTGCCTTTTTCAAATTGAAGTCCACATTGTCACACCTTAATTGGAAGATGCCCAATGCTCTTGATCACTCTTGACACCTCCTCTGAACCTTTTGCAGTAATATTAGACCCACTTTGAGATGTGGGAACCAGAACTGTATACACTATTCAAGATGCAGCACGATACGGTTTCACTAATAATAGTGACATTAAGATGCTTTTGCTTTGTTCCCTGTTCTCCTCCTAATCATTCCTAAATTCCATTTGTGTATTTGACTAGTACTTAACAGTGAGTGTATGTTTTCATTGATCTGTAATTCCAAGATCACTTTCCTAAACAGTAATACTAGTCCAGAGTCGACATGAAATACAGTTTGCTTTGTTTTTCCTTTTCATCTGCATCACTTTACTATTACTTTCTGAGTCTTACATACCACTTTATGATTCAGTCCCTCAACATTGCAAAGTCCTTTGAACATCTTTGCAGCCTGCTCTCCATTTTTCTACCACATATAACTTAGCATCAGCTAAATATCATTATTTTAACTAATCTCTTTGATAATATTATATATCTACCTCCCATTTTTAACAAAACACAATTTGAGACAGAAATAGTAAGTAAAAATAAAAGGTAGTTTCATAATTCTGTATCCTGTTAATTACAAATTTTAAACCTGACAGTCGAAGTGAAACTCTACTTCTTTCAGTACTTAGAAATCTGGGTAATTACAAAATAAACCAAATCCTCTGCCATTACTAAAATGTTGCACGCATATGAAAGAAGCACGTCAACTAATAAAGCGCAATATTGAAATTCTGAGCCTCTCACAGCAACAGCTGCCTTTAAAAGACGTATTTGTTTATGGCACTGAAAGAACAGAAACTTGAAGTACACAATGAAAAAGAACCTAAATTGACAGAATTGAGGGTTGAGGACTTAAATCATGATGCTAAAGATACCAAATAAAATAAAATAAAATAAAATAAAATAAAAAAATCAGTGAAGTGCACTAGCACATGTATCTGGAGAGTTTCATTCATTGATATATTAACTGGCTTCCATGTATATGCAGAAAATCCACTATTATTTCAACTGTTACTATGGAACAGAAAAAAACCCGCAAGGGGCCAAATGATTAGGAACTCCAGCAACACACTGTTTCCTCCATGTTATGAGGGCTGTCTTCTATCCTGATGATACTGGATATTAGACTAAGAGACTTCCTCTAATACAGGTAACTAGCTCTGAACTCAACAAACATGTACAGCTGCCTTAATTTGCACGCTAACATCCTGAAATGAAGTGAAACTTATCCTCTTGAATACACAGGTAGGCTGACATGCTTTCTTAGCATGCCATGGCTATTCCCAAGTCTTTGCTTAGAGGTCAGCGGTGTTTAACTCGAAGCTCTACCAAGTGGCCTGTTGAGAGCATAAGAGCTCTTTTCTAGGCTTGCAGACCACAAACTGCACAGTGGAACAAGTGGCTTCCTTCGGTTCTGTATAGCCCCCCCTTCTAGGAAAAAAAAACCCAAATAAGCACATCTGCAGAGAATACTATTGGTCTGAATGGCTTTTTCAGTGTGGTACAAAAACATGGCAGTGCAGGTAAGAGAAGTTCATTTTCTAATAGAACTGTTCTATCCTCCCATTTCTGTACATATTACAGATAAGCCACTGACATAATGAACACTTCCCGTGAGTCAAATCACATATCAATATACACAAACATACCTTTTCGCCAGGAAGACCAGCAACACCATTCTGTCCTTTCGCACCTATTTCACCCTACAAAACAAATCATTCAGTTAGAAGTTCTAAAGACTTCTGAGGTTAACAACAACTACTCACGTCATATCTGATTCAACAGAAAAGCATCTTCTACCCTGTTTTTATCATGCTTAGTAATGTAACCACTGTGGAGGAGGATGCCTTACGTGTAACACTAAAATCAGACAAAATAAATACATTTTAAAACATCTATAATAGCAATTAAGACCCTCATCTGACAAATACTTGCACATGCACATTTCCATAAAAAGCAGGTCTGCTGATTTTAAGGGAATTCACTGCGACAACAGAGTGAAGCCAAGTGGGTCCATTTTCATTGGGTTGAGTGTGTTCTACACTGAGAAAGCTCAACATGTAATACAGGTTTGTTTTGTCTAAAAGTCATGTGCCCACAATATTTTTAAAAGACACTATTTAAACTCAGTTTCTCTCTCCCTCCCTTTTACCCCCAAAGCCCAAACCATAAGCAATCTATAAGAAAATTTTAGTTTTAAGAGACAAATGACTGACTGATCAGGAGAGGTATGGAAGATCCCAGCAGTTGCAAATTGGACCATGAGTCTTAAAAATGATTGAAGAAAACATCAAACACAGAAATTTTGCTTCATAATATCAAGTATAAGGGTTACAAAGTTTAAAATAAAAATCGGATGGACACTAGAGTAATATAACGGAAACACTGAAACCATATTATAGTCTTCATTTAAAAACAAAACAAAACAAAACATTAGGTTTTTCCACTTGTACCAAGAAGAGAACATTCTCTAGCAAACAGGAAATGCCACAGCCTTTTTTGGACTAATCCAATTCTTTATGAAGAAAACGTCACTGGTTTGAAAAGAATTAATTATCAAATTGTTTTTTGAGAGAAAGCATTACACAAAGAAGCAGAAGAGCCACATTTACACAAATAATTGGTTCCTAAAATAGGTTGTAAATCTAGGTTTGGAGCCCAAATCTAAAACTGCAAACCCAAAAGCCCCTGCTGAGGAAGTGCCCAAGACTCTAAACTCACAAAGTGCATAACTTTTTAAATAGCAGGATCCTGGAAACTCATAATTCTAATATTCAGCATATGCAGAAACTTCTCGGTATTAGGCAAAGTTTATCAGTTTAGTCAATAAACCCACTCTGCAGTAATAAATATCAGTTTCTCATGATCTTCCCAAATAGGATACACACACAGTGCTGCAGTGACTTCTTTTTCTTCTGTTACATATAGGACAGGCGATGCTTAACTCAACAGCGTAGCAGAAAGGCTTTGTCCAGGCCAAGGAACGTACAAGTTCTCTGCCCTCCACAGCCTATGAGTGCTCCCAGCCTGTACCCCCGCTTGCCTGGACTGCTGATGCCTGCCAGCGCACTGGTGGTCACGGGATCTAAAGTTGTTCCAAAGTTCACAAGAGGAACAGTAGGAACTGCACAAGTGAACCGCATCCCAGCAGCCTGGTGCCTTTCCCAAGAGCAAGGAGACCAGGTTCCTATCTGGAGGACCGTTCCTGCATTTTATGTGAGACCGTCCCCAAGTAAAGTGCATAACCATTTCTTAAACTACAACCTGAGTCTGTCCATCAGGTTTAAAGTGATTTTAATTAACGTAGTTATGGTACAACAACATCAACTAGGTATCCCAGAACTCAGTATCAGAATACAAACACTGCTGTAAAGCTTTTAAAAAAAAAAAAACAAAAACAAAAAAACCCCAAAAAACCACAAAAATCCCCACCAGAAACAAAAATCTGAAAGAGCTTCATAGACGGAATACTGTAGTACCTTTATCTTTTCAGTGTAATTGTCATACCTCTGTTATGAAGTTATTAACCTTTCTGAAGTTAAGAACGGAGCAGTAAGACTGGCAAAAAGTACAAACCAACAGTATTTGCTATATCCCAGAACAGCCATTATAAAACATTTAATCCCTGGTAAAGGAAGGATTTATAATATATGCTTTTCCTCAGCATTCCCTCTAGTATGGCACGCAGCAACTGCTGACTCAGCACACTGTACTCCGAGGTGCTTAAGTCTCCTTATGCTCTACCCAGGGAGTCTATGGATCGGGTCCAGGGCCCCAGATGGCAGTCGCAGTTAAGTTCTGAGAATTCAGTATTTTTGCCTCTAGCCTCAAGGAAAAAAGAAGAAAAAAAACCCCAAAGCCCCAAAACCCGAAGTGCTACAGGTCAGGTCTCCTCGTTAGCTTTTTCTAAAAGCAGAATGATGTGTCCTAATGACTCACCATAATTCTGATGTAAGCTCTCATACCCTAATACTATTGTTGTTGCTTCTTGCCTACCATAAAACTTATCTACCATCCTTGCCCCCCATTTTAATTTCCTAACAACTATTCACAGAAACCATCATAAAATAACTGCATGTACGCAGCCTGGCTCAAAATTCCTTTGTTTATAACACGTGAGCTAAGCAAATCAATCAAAATGAGCGACTCCCAGGTGCAGAGTACTATTCCAGCCATAAGTTTAAACCACTGCTCAGAAGCAACGATGTGCTGGAGGAGCGTATGAGCCATCTCCTGTGTCTTTTTTATTCAAATATTGAAATGATCCTTAGTTCTCTCTGTCTCAAAAGTAGACCAAAATCCTGTGTGTGCGAACAGCATGAAGCCACTGGCACTATGAGAGATAAAGAAGCACGGCTGGCCCCTGGTTACCTTATCTAATCACTCACAGAGTGACTCTCTTATCTATACACGCTCTGTTCCCTTATGCCACTTGCCAGTATTTTAATAGACCAGAACCACTTTGTTACATTCAGCAGTGTATTTTTATATACCGTACAGTCTAAAATTACACAGCCTGCTACCTGCCAGGAAGCCTTTGGCATATATGACTTACTAGCCAATTAACCAAGGTATGTTTACGCTTCTGTTCCACTAACTGCAGACAGTTATTTTCCACTGCAAATTAGATCATAAAGTTATGCTTCTATCTTGTAATTGCGATTTTAATAACCACAGTCTGAAAGATTCTAGTTTTTCATGCTTTTATTCAGTGAGTTTAAAGATCAGATCCTATGGGTTGTACAACCTATAACAGTATTCACACAGACAGCATGACAGAATAAAAAAAATTAAATAGAGCAAATGCAGTTTTTAAGGATTTTTTTTCCTTTTTTTTGTTTCATGGCATTTTCCTTTGCTTCTGCAGATCTCAGAGTCCTTCACAAAAGTGAAAAAGCATCCTTTTCTCTTTCTTACATAGTAGATGCCAAAAGTATAGAAATGAGATGAAAAAACAGGGTTCCTGACCATCAGGCCTACATCTACCCCTAAATAAATCTCTGTTATGCCTTACAAGAGTATTCTAACTCCCGACACTCACTGCAATTGAGCTTTTTAAGCTTATGTAAATAAATTAGTAAGAATGAGAATAAAGAACCGCATTTGCTTAGAACTACCAAAGCCAACAGAAATATACGCTGCCAGAAGAACAATTTCATAAGCTGTTGAACACTAGCAGTACAATGCTGGCATTTATAGGTTATGAGGTACACTCAGTGTAACAGCATTCAAAGGTAGTACCGTGAGCTTTAAGTCTACTGTTAGGGTTTTCTCCTAAGCGTACCAGTGAAAATCCTTTTCAACTGAGCACAAGATACTTATTGAATAAAATATTTAAGCCATAGCATATTTTGCAGAAGGTGATCTCTTGCAAACAATAGGTTGGCTACAGTACTTTTGACAATGTTTATATTGGTAAACTCGTAAGCAGACAGGGTGGAAACTCAGCAGGGGCTGAAATGAAAAAAAAAAAAAAAAGAAAAAGAAAAAAATAAATGCTTCTGTCAACTTGCCGTAAAGGCAAGCCAAACTAAATTCTTAAAAAGAGATTGCAGACAGCAAACATGCTTCTTTCCAATGATACCAATCAGCCTTCTATCTGAAGTGGAAACAATTTTGCACATCTGAGACCACCTGCAGTATTACACTTGTGATTGTTTTTTTACATTAATGATTCAGAGTTTCACTTGAGCTTTACCTCCTTGCACCATGCAGCCTTTATTCAATGCACCTGTTGTAGAACTAGGAATGATACACTAGTAGCAGACACAAAATACAGTACCTTGATTTCTATACCACATGTTACTACTGAAGAGTCATGTACAACAAAGATAGTCTAAAGCCAAATGTAGTGATAGAGAGAATGACAGTGATAATTATTTAAGTTAACAAATTACAGTCCTTTCTCATATAAAACCAAAAAACATTCTTTTAAGAAAGTATTTTATTTAAACACATTATTTTGTCTCTTAAATTGCAAATCTATTTGAAATATATTTACATTGTGATATGGAGTGGGATTAACTTGACACATTAACATTTAATCTAGAAAACAAAGTCTACAAGGAATTTTGAGAGGAGGAAAATATTCTCAGCAGGGTTCTGTACTAACCAGGTACAGATGATGATTTTAATACTAAGATAAAAGCAAATGCACTTAAGAAACAGAAAGAATGACATTAACATGGCCTAGAGCACACACTGCTAGAGTACTGCATGACAACATTGCTCTTGTCTACAATGGGGACATATTAGTTCAGATAAAATGAGTAACCTACATCAGTTGTCAAAACACTCCTTAACCAAAATCAGTTTTGGTTTTGTAAGATTAGATCAAGTAAATTAGCTTTCCCGGTTTTCATCTCTGTGGAGTTATGTGTGTCAATTAGCATCAGAAATGCCCAGGTAAGAAAATGTGTATTATTATCAAGAATGAAATACAAGCACACTCTGAAGAGAGTTGTTCCCAGCAGACAGTGTACTGGCAGGGTTTCCAAAAGTGATTAAGTGGAAGGTGAAAGAGGTAATGTAGAGAACTCATCCTTTATACTAGATCTGTCATCTGTATGATCAATGTCAGAGGCAGTACCTGTAAGAAATTACGTAAGCTAAAATTTAAAACTTAGATGTACAGGCAGGTAAACAGTTCTCATGATTATAAAAAGGTGATAGAAGTATTTAGACCTGGAAAAAAACCCACCTC